CCCCAAAACCCCAAAACCCCAAAACCCCTATAGTCTAAAATAAATAACTTTTAGTATTTTTAATGATTGGAAGAAAATTTATGCAATTAATGATTAAATTTTTCACTTGGTCTTATCAACTCTCTTTTGACTTGAGATCACTCCTTAAATCTTAATTATTTCCATGTCCTGTATGTGATTGTGAATTTTAATGATCGTGATTATGGCCTTGACAGGCTTGCCCTTAATGATTGCATTATACTTAGTAGTCCTTTGGGATGAATTCTTGAGTAAAAATGTATAGGAGCAAGATCAAATTATAAACAAACATCATAATATTGATTAATGGCTGAATCTTTTAAATTCTTCCTTTATACCAGAAAGAATAGGTTATTGGTACCAATGAAATACCAACCAAATGAATGAGTCTAATAATATTCATAACACCTTGTGAGAATACTGAATGAGTTTATCGTCCGAATTGGAAACTGTAAGAGGCTTTATCAGCCTTAAAATACTCATTAATAATGCCCTTCTTTTTGAAATTAATCTCCTCATCCTATTGTTTAGATTTATCACTGACTTTTTGCTTTGAAATCAAAATGACATCCTCTATCATTGAAGAAAAACCACGGCATTAAAAGTAATAGATAACTATATAAATTATCATGAAGGTTTTATGCTCTCCTAATGTTGAAATAGTAGATTGATCTATCATAACAAGAGTACTAAGTATACTATATATTATATAAAGCGGTTAGTACTCCTTGTATAATAGGCCTAGTAAAAGAATGACAAGAGTTTAAAGTGTCAATAATCTATTTTGAATTATGCCAAAGGATATAACAATCTAAGTAATGATCATAGCTATCTTTAGGAATCTTCTATCACTCAATCTTAGGACTGTAAAGAATATAATCAAGATAGCAAAGAAGAACAGGATTATTGATACAAGGTTTCCATTTTTTATCATTTAAGTAAAACTCCAAATGTTTCCAGTCAATAGCAAATTATTGTCAAATGATTTGTAGTTTTCCAGATATTATCTACTGAATACTCTTTCTGCAACTGCAACCCCCTATTCACTTGCAAGTATTGGAACGTAAACAATTATAAAAGTAACAAAGAAGCCTAAGAATACTGTTGAAACTCTATTAATAATTTGATTAAGCCTTGTTAAATCCATCCTTTATAAGTCCTCCTCACTTATTTCAGATCTTATAAGCCTTAAAGATACTGTAATAAACACAATTGGTAATATCCATACTGCCTACGAATTTAAATTGAGAGAAAGAGCAAAAAATACTGTACAAAACTCAAGGTGATCATTCATATTAAACCAAATTGAATAGAGAAGACATCCTATAAACATTATCTAAGCAGTTTAAACTTTAACTGAACTCATGAATATCACCATTGGACTAAAATATATCAAAAGAAGAAGATTAAGTTTGAATGTCTTGCTAAATTTCAAATGCAATGTATTCACAAGCAGAGTTAATGGCAATAATATGAATATAATCTCAGTAACCATTGCTACAAATCTCAATAGAAAGCCTATTAGAAGCACATTTTCTGTATCTAGGTTTTCCTTAAGGTCCTACCCGCTCATAAGCTCTAATAAATATCCCAAGCCAACATTTATATTGTAATGTAATGGAGCTTCAATGTGTAGAGTTTTATCTGAAAACGTTTCTTTCATACTTTTAGTAGTCATATTAGCTATAACTTGATATTAATCATTAATTCCTGCAGATAGGCTTTTATTTAGTGCATCAGTGAATGTAAGATATACTATCATTACTAGCCTCATCAGAAATACTAAAGATAATGTTTTTAAAAGCGGTTTTTCCATATTAATCAAAGAATGACTTAGTTTCGTAATCATGTTAGTAATAAATTTGACCTTAACTGTATTTTTCTTGGTAAAAAGCAAGGTTTTTTCTGCAATATCTAGTATTTTAATGGATGGATGCCAGTGCTCCTTCATTATATCTTCAAAAGTTATATTTTCCAAATTATGCAATGAGTAGAAGAGTTCTTTATCTTTCAGTTCTATCGATATCAAAGGTGCATCAAATGGAAAGTGATGCGATAGATCTAGTTTAATATTAGCCAGCTCGTCAAGTACATAAAGAGTCATCGATGTATCATCATACTTAAAATTTATTGCCGTGTTTTACAAATTCTTCAATTCTATAATGGCGATTATGTTAATTGAAAATTAAGGAAGTGTATATCTTTACCATTATTTATTCTAGTTTGAGTCACATTTTAACTAGGTTTATTGGCCTTATTCAACTTTTCTAACTCTTCCTCATTTTGCTAATCAGATTACTCTTCAAATAGCAAACTATTTTCATGTGTTGTAGATTCCTAAATTTTATCCGACAAAGTAGAATCAATTTCCATTTTCAATTTTTTAAATATTATACTTAATAATTAGTAAAATGCTTAAATTCAAATTAATAATACTTTGAGGGGTTTTGGGGTTTTGGGG